AAAAAAAAATTAAAAAAAACCCCACCCCCCCCCCCCCCCAAAAAAAAAAATCCAACATCGACTTTGTGGAAATTCACTTACTGCCAGAGGCCTTGGAACGCATCACCTGCAAAAAGTGAGGAAACCCTGTACCCTTATTTTTCCAGGACATCAATTCGACCAGAAGTTGCGAGCGTCCAGCCCATTGACGAAGAGACGGGCCAAGGCTGCTCCAGGAAAGCGGTTCTTCAAGCTCTTTCCACGCAGCCCTCCAGATTGACCAGCATCATTCTGGCTGAAGATGTTGGTAATTATCAATTGAAAATGACAAATCCATTGTGTTGTACTTAGTGGAGAAAATCTGCACAATCATCAAATTATTCTAATATTGCACAACCTTTCCTTCCCTCTTTATTATTGTGCAATCGTTTTTACATTTATTTTGTTCACCCACAAAAGTTATGCTGTTATGACATCATGAAATGTGCATTGTGAATAAAAACGGCTCATCTTTTTTCCCAAACCTGCTTCTCCTGCCCTTGACCATATCATAGCGACAGTATATACAGTGCATGATGCAAGCACATTTCAATGACTTTCATCAGCACAAACCCATTTGTGCTTGTTTAGTTGTTATGCCCGCTGTATGTAAAATGGGTTGCTCTCTTTCATTCACAGGGACAGGACAGAAACTGCACTGCGATGTAAGCGTTGACGTGATCTCGAGTATCAGCGTTTTTTCCACCAAGAGAAAGATTCACCTGGACGATTCGCCCCTTCTACTCAAAATTATAGCGCTGGACTCTGAAGGTGCCCATGAGATAAGCTTCCTCTCATTATAGCCTGCTGCTGCTCTGCTAAGTCCTCCCTTAGCCAAGCTAATTGGCACTTCCACGCTGGTCTTGATCACTGTAAAGTATTTATTGACCATTTGCATCTTTGCGTTCATATCACTCATCTGTTGCTGCTGTAAAGATTAACCAATTTCAATATCTTGATCAATTACAATGTTGGATCCCCTCGGGCTGTGCCGATGACCTGATCGTGTTTGTTTTCATCCCCGAGTTGTGTTAAAGACAAAAGTTCTCCTGTCTATATACCTACTGGTCCTAATTCATCATCCTCTCTCCTGTGAAACATAACGTTTCCTTCGCTCTTGTCATGGTTAAATTCCACTTCACTGACACGTTCCCTTTTTTTAACTTTCTCTACTTCCTTTTTCCTCTTTCACTTTCGCACATAGTTCTAATATTATCCTGCAGGTGCACTAATGTTTGTGTGTTCAGCTGGCCAGCGAATTTTTTTTTTTTTAACCACACATTTAGATGTTTTATCTTTGAAGGACATTGGCTCTCTACGAATTTCCAATCTGTACATGTTAACTTCAGTTTAGGATCAGTGATGGCAATGGCGAGTGATGAAAAAAGCGGAAAGGGGCGTGGCCTGGATGGGGGCGTGGCCTGGACGGGGCGTGGTTACTTACAAAAGTGGCACTCAACATGCTGAAGATCAAGTGTATTGAATTTACACAGTATTTGAAACTTGAACAGAAAAAAATCCCAAGATTGCCACTATTCTTTCAAGTGAAAATTTGTGCAATTTTGCTTATGCATTCCTGGTGAGCACCAATATGTAACTTCAAATTTGCTGCTCAAAATCAAAACTAAAAAAGTAAACACATTCC